GCGAAAGAAAGAATCGTATAAGAAAAAGAAGAAGGATGCGAATGTATTCTATATAAAAAAAAGAAGATGGTAGAAGAAAGAAAGAAAGAAAAAAAAAAAATGAAAAAGAAATGAAAAGGAACAAAACGTAAAGAAAGGGAGAAAGAAAAAGAAAGGAAAGAAAAAAAGAAAAAAGAAAGAAAGAAAAAGAAAGAAAGAAAGAAAGAAAGAAAGAAAGAAAGAAAGAAAGAAAGAAAGAAAGAAAGAAAAAAGAAAAAAATGAAAGAAATGAAAAAGGAACATTTACGTTAGGGAGAAGAAAAAGAAAGGAATCAAAAGGTAAAGAAAGAAAGAAAGAAAGAAAGAAAGAAAGAAAGAAAGAAAGATTTAGACGGAGGGAAGAAAGAACCAAAGGTAAAGAAAGAAAGGAAAAATAAAAATAAAATAGATAGAAAACTAAACTAGAAGGAAATATTATTTCTTCTTCTTCTTCTTCTTCTTCTTCTTCTTCTTCTTCTTCTTCTTCCCTCCTCAGTTAAAAACACCTCATAGACATTGATATTTTTTTACTTCTCTGGTTTTGGCATCTCCAATTTGTAATTTGCATGTTGGGCTCTTCTCTTTACTGACAACCATATATTTTATTGTCTTACTGTTGGTGTATAGTCCCTTCTTCTAGCTTTCCTTCAATGTAGAATTTCCTATTTTTTTCTTTCTGTGTCTTCAATCAACACTGAGTCATATCTAACTAGCAGCATGGCCCGGCGTTGCCCGTGCTTGATTCAAAAATCGTACGACTCATACAGCAATGGCTATCACTTGACTTGATATTTTTGCCCTTCCTTGCCCTTAAAGCAGTGCCCTTTGCCGTGCTTATCTTGCGACATGCCTTAATTCTTGCCTATCTCACACCGCAAATTTTTTCTAAGCTCTATACTAAACATTAAATTTTTACGAAAAAAGAACTAAACAAAATGAACACAAAACGATCAGCTTTAAAAAACGACTCGTAACTGGAAAAACCGAATGAAAAAAGAATGTTAACAACAAATACTTTTTCACACCCAACACAGTTCTGCAGAATCAGAATCAATGTTGAGTTTATGCAAGTGAATGAGCCAATTGGAGTAAAGTGCCATGCAGATTTAAATTTTTCCCACTTGTGACGAATGCAGCTATCGATTTTTTTTTTTGCATGCTAGCATGCTAGTTAACATTAGTGTCAGTCAGCTGTTGGCTCCCACGCTGGCCAATAGAATCTTCCTGCCTATTCGTGGCAGCCAGCTATAGGCTCTCACTCTGGCCAGTAGAAAATGGCCGCAAACTACATGAAAACTGCCGTAGAAGCATGAAAAAATCGATTATTTCCACTATCGGTGGGAGTTGGGAGATGCAAAGTCGGTCTTGGCCTTCTCGCTAACTTGGAGCATGTGCATGTAAATTTTGGTGCAAATCAGTCGAAAATTGCGGCCGTACATTCGTTACACACACACACACACACACACACACACACACACACACACACACACACACACACACATCCTGCCTTTTATAGATAGAGATGTTCTTGAGGTTGTGACCGCCATTAATGTATTCTTGTAGAACTTCTAATTCTCACCTATAAAGGTTAAATAAATTCACGAATCTTTTTCTTACACGTCTTTCTATTTTGCTACATTTACGGGATTCATTTTCTATCCATATTAAGTTAGTTTACTCCCATTATCAGTTCTAGATTACTGTAATATCGCTTCCAAATATATTAAATTTACCGAACTGTTTTAAAAGTGAGTTTCTAACCTTGCCATTCCATTTTACTGCAAGTAGTCCCTTTCGTATTAGTGAGATTATTGCCTTCCTTGGGTTGAACTGATTAAAAAAATGTTCTTTGTGACGTATTTTATCAATCGTTTTTACATAATGTTTCTATCCGTGTAAGTGGTTTGCTCACAGTATATATTCAGGTTTATACTAATATCTTTTCAAGATAAATAAAGTCTTCCTAACTGTTCAAGTTGCTAATAATACCTAAGCAAATTTTGTTCCACTTTATATCCAAGAGAATTTTATTAATTCTAATTTAATAACGCCGTCATATTTTCTTAAGTACTTACGCCTCATATAAAGTTTTCATATATGAGTTTTAATATATTTTTTCCAATTACTAGTTTAATAAAAGTGACTCTTTAAATATATTTTCCAATTACTACATCTTTACAATAGAAAACCAATCCCCCGTTTTATATGAATTAGAATATTTTATTAAAGCCAGTTTATTTAACGAAATAAAATGGCATCTGGCTGATGGGAGATGATGAGAGGTTGAGGATGAGTAACTACGCTGCGCCTACATAGTTCAATTCACGACCTATTCCTTCTAACAACTGACATATGACTTCTTCTGTTCCTCACCACAAGAACTCATATTTCACTATTAGGTTCGAACAAAGACTAAAATACCGCGTTTTCACAGTTGACCTATGTGATAGATATAATATTTTTTTTTAATTTACAAAACGATATAAAAGTAGGAACGGAAAGACGGAAAGAATTAAATCAAATAAAAAGTTAAACGAAAAAATTTAAAAGAAATTAAAACTCTTTAGTTCGACTTCTTTGTTCTTATTTAATGGGGATAATATCAGTCCTCCTTTATGGCAATGAATGCTGGATAATCTCTTCTGATATGAAGGAGATACTTGAAGGAAGAGAAACAAAGAAAAGAATAATGAACTGTTATGTAATATCAGTCCTCCTATATGGCAGTGAATGCTGGACAATCACTACACAGATGAAGAAGAGACTTGAAGCAAGAGAAACAAAGAAAATGGTACTGAACTGTTACATAATATGTCCTTCTATATGGTAGTGAATGCTGGACAATCTCCTCACAGATGAAGAAGAGACTTGAAGCAAGAGAAACAAAGAAAAGTGTACTGAACTGTCATGTGATATCAGTTCTCTTATATGGCAGTGAATGCTGGACAATCACCTCTCAGATGAAGAGACTTGAAGCAAAAAAACAAAAACAAAGAATACTGAACTATTAAGTAATATATCCTCCTATATGACAGCGTATGCTGGACAATCTCACATGATGATGAAGAGCCTTGAAGCAAGAAAAACAAAGTTTACTGAATTGTTATATAATATCAGTCTTCCTATATGGCAGTGAATGCTGAACAATCTTCTCACAGATGAAGAGACTTGAAACAAGAGAAACAAAGGAAAGTGTAATGAACTGTTATGTAATATGAGTCCTCTTATATGGCAGTGAATGTTAGACAATCTCTTCACAGATTTGAAGCAATGGAAACAAAGAAACGTTGCAAAAATAAATATTTCTACCAACTATTAAAGTCAGTTTACCTATGTCGCCAAAAATGCCGACATTTAGTATACAATTACAATTATCAGACAGATTTATTTGGGGTGTATTGAAATAGTTTTCAGTTACTGTCGTTGCTCTCTGCTCTTCCTTGTGTCAGCCTCTGTGAATATCTTTGACGTTTCCGTCATTCTCATAAAGTGGTGGCACCAGTGTAAGGGAGATAAATTTTCTTTCAAAATATATGCTATTTTCTTTACAATTCTTGACTTTTTATACATATTTGAACAGCCTATTATTGCCATAATGACACTGCCACCTGGTCGCGCCAGTGCAAGCAAGATAATCACTCTTTCATGATATATGTCTTTTCTTAATACCTACAATTTTAGACATTCCGACATTGTCATAAAGACCACGCAGGTTCCAGTGCGAGGGATATAACTGCTCCTTCATAATATATGCTTTTTTCTTTTCATCCCTCGGCTTTGTAAAGGTCTAATGACACTGTGACCCTGTTACCTAGTCAGGCCAATGCAACTTTGATAACTGCACTTTGATAATGTTTGTGTTTTCTTTTCACCTCTTGGCTTTGTAAATATCTTGGGATAGTCTGCTGTTGTCACTAAAACACTGCTCTTAGTTGAAACCAGTTCAGGGGAGATAATTACTCTTTCATGATTTTATTTTTTTCTTTTCACCTCCTGGCTCCGTAAACATATTATGCCAACTTTTAATTGGGATAAAGATTCTGCCACCTGGTCACGCCAGTGCAAACGAGATCATTGAACTTTTTCTGTCTTTTCTTTTCATCTCCCGGCATTGTAAATAATTTGAGTCGATAAGCTGTTGTCTTAAAAATGACTTTGCAAAATGGCAGTTGCATAGAAAAGGTAGGTAACTCTATTACAGCCAAGCTTCTCTAATTAAATAATGACTTACTTTTATGGCATTTCTTTATTTTTCGATTCAGAACAGATATTCGGTAAGGCCGTGTCCGATTTTGCAAATTCGCTGATTTAAATTCTTCAAAGAATTCTGATTTTAACAAATATAGTAACTAAATATTATCTCGTTGAAAAATTAGCAAGTTTTCATAAATTAATTGGCTGAAATACATATAAAAATATTTTTACCAATATTTTCTAGTAAAAAAAAAATTAATGGTAATTTCATTCATTCGTGAAAGAGTCCTGAAAATTTTATTGAAATATGACAATCATTTGATTTTTGCAAAAATTTCAAAATTAATGTGCCTGTCACCAGAAAATAAGAGGCCAAACTTTGCTAAAAATTAGCATAACCGCTGACGATAGAAAAAAAAGTTCTTTTAATTAAACATTTAGAATGTCCTAAAAAGAAATAAAAAAAAATAATTAAATAATCAAAAAATACTCTGATCCGTTCTCTTAATAATAACATAAACATTTTGAAGATAAATCTATATTTTCATTACATTTCGAGCATGTTTTCATCTCGGTATGCTGATTTTTTAGCGTTTTTGAATAACAAGCGCATGGCCCTAAAGACTGACTGCAATCATTTTGATAGAAACGTTCTGTAAAGATTAGAGTAAACTTGTTTAATTCTTGGAATGTAAAAAAAACTTTTGAAGAGAAATTAGATTGTTACTAATTGGTTTTAAATATATTGAAAATAAGATAAAGCCTATTTTTACATATTTTAATTCTTTAAGTTTATAAATTTATTTTTTATTGCCTTTCAATTCGATTTAAAAAAATGAAACGTAGTTTTAAAATGTTTATTAATCAAATAAAGAACACAAGACCGAAACTTGAAAAACAAGACATAAATGATATATTTATAATAATTAAAATTAGCAGTACCTATGAAAAATTCACGTTTTCTCCAGTTTAATTTTCTGTTAAATAAGGTAATTGCAAGTTGCAAGACTATGAAATACACATGAAAATTCCCCTGTTGTATCGTTAAACATTTTCGCTTAACAACTTTTACAAAATATTACAAAGACAATCATCTGTGAATGCAGGGAATTATTTAAAGAAGTAAGAGAATACAAATGAAAAGATTCAAAATTAACAAGATTTTTTTTTTCATTTCACTGAAGCTGACATTAAACATATGATAGCGTTGTTGCTTTTATATTCTTTCTCTCTTTCTTTGTCTGCTGCTTCAATGCCAAGAATTTACGGGCAGGAGACAGGCTAGGTCGTAACGTATGCGCTAACCTACTAAGAAACAAAGGTGTCATAATAATACACTAATGTCTTAACAATGCGTCATATGATGATTAAGCAGGAAAGAAAAAAGAACGGAAGAAAATTGTCAAAGACAGAATAAAATAAAAAAAGCTAATTGAAAGGTGAGAAGGAAAGAAAAGAATTATCGATGGAAAAAAATAATAGAAAGCTGAAAGGTTGAAAAAGCCTGGCAAAGCTTAAACTGAAATTGAATCGAATAAAGAGGACATATTTGATTATTATTAATAATTTAGACTTTATTTTGGCGCCATGTTTTATTAAGTCCTTACATTTTTATTAGGTTTATTCCAATATATCACTTAATATATGCTTTCCAGTTAATATGTTAATATGCAGCAGTGCTAAGGTATCTGGTTATTACTTGATAAAAATAGAAAACCGAACCTCCACTTCATCACCAATATAATTTTCATTAACATCAGTTTAACTCCGTCGTAAAAGAACGCTTATTTAGTTAAGTGTTTACTATTACCAGAAGTTTTTCTTTCGCATGTGAGTCTTTAATTGTACTTAGGAAGTTATTATATTAATATATACTAATTATAGAGAGATTATTTTATTAATTAATGAAATTAAAAGATTCCTCCCTGTATATCCATTACGCGCTTCTCCTTCCAAATTTCTTTCTGCCCTACATTAATGATCTGCCTAAGAGTATACTCTGATCTTTATGTGGATATCTATAATGATGATACAACGGTATATGCGTGCACCTCGAAATATTCTAGATGACCAGTGATTGAGAGCTGATCACTCCTTTGTCCAAGCTTTAACAACTCAATTTAAGAAAACCTGGCTGGTCTTATTCAATACGTCAAAAACCTCAGAACTTAACTGGAACTTGTATTTATAATCCACCGATAAAGATACTGGATAAATTTCGTGTACCAGTCTTGTAAGGATCTGACTTCTTCAACTAGGATCTATTTTTACAAGAGCTACATCAGGCCGAAAATGGAGGATTGCTGCCATCTCTGGTAAAGAAGTTTTTATTTGGTAAAGAAAACTTACGAAAAAGTATAGTTCAAACAAATGTTTGATGTAACGTTTAATTTATAAGGCCATGGCAACAAAGACAAATAACACGAGGCGACTTTTAAAAAACAGTCGATAAATTTATTAACACACAAAAATGTAAGAATTACACAAATTAAGTGCTTTGTGTTCCAAATGATGGCTAATAACATGTATGTACGAATAATCTCTGCAAATAAATATGCCTCTTTTACAATAAAAATCACTATACTGCATAAGGCCTTCAGAAAAGGTCAGTCAGTTATGTGCCATGCGTGATACACGCATAAGCGATCATGTATCGTTCGATACATGACTGACGAAGCAGATTTTTCCCGGAGTAGGTTGCCATTTCTTTCTGTGTTAGACTAGTTTGCTATCCAAGGTTATAGCACCCGATCTGTCCAGCTACTTTACCCATAGCTGGGAGGAGAAAAAGAGGATTCATACCTTTCCCAAGGGTATTAGCATGTAAGTGAATGTAATGGAATTCGAACTCGGCTCTACGATTCATCAATCCGAGCCGCTAAAAGGTAAACGACATAAAAATAAATGAAAAAAGTGAGAAAAACAATTTCTCTAAATAATTTTCAAAGAATAGGTAGAATCTTCGAAATAAACTTCGCGATAACAACGAATAACAGAACAACCGACCAGCCGAATAATTTTTCTTGATGTGGAAGCGACTTTGATGTTCACATTCCCTTCTGGTGGTCGTCAAATTTCTTCTGTGTTGTTTGTTTCTTGACCGGGCCAATCTGGGTCCCTGCCGCATTTGTTCGTCGACTCCACGAATTCGATTCTCTTTTTTGCCTTTATTCATCAAGATAAGGCTCCAGATTCGTTATTTTTTCTGCGCTTCTTGCCTCTTACTTTTACCACTCGCAAAACAAAATCCTTCACTATCGCTCTACCTTCTATTTTTATTGCTGGTAATATTTTTTCCCCAAAATAGTATTGCTGGTAATATTTACTCTTTCAAAAATCTATTTCTGGTAATATTTTTTTCAAAAAATGTGGAGCGTTTAATATTTTTTTTTTCAAAAATGCATAGTTGATATTTTTCTTTTTTTTAAGGATTGCTGGTAATGATTTTTTTCCTTCAAAAAATTATTGCTGTTAATAATTGTTTTACACAGTATTTCTGGTATTAAAACCTATTTTTACACTTTCATAGTATTTTAACCCAAGTTTGGGTGTTGACTAATTGCCTATAGCTGGGACCTTAACAGGTGCTACCACCCTGGGTCAGAGTGGTAGGAGGAGGAGTCGGGGACTATATGGAGTGGTACAGGGAATTATAAAGTAAGCTGCCATTCAACTTAATAATATGATAAACAGTTAGAGAGGAAGAGGTAAGCGAGACAGTTTATAAGGATATGTGAAGATAACGGTTAAACCTAGACTTGAACAGGTTAAGATTGCAGTGATCGGGGAAGCACCTTCACGGGAGTCGGTTCCACAGAGCACCGGTTCGTGGGAAGAAGCTGCTCAAGTGGAATTTACGTCTCACCAATGGGATACGAAGGAAATGACGGTAGGTAGCTACGATGTGAGTGGCATGGAGGGTCTTAGACGTGAAGGTTAGAACAAGTGGAACTAAGGAATGTCGCTCGTCTGAGCACTTTCCATGGAAATAGCGACAGAGAAGCGAAGAGGCTTGCGACATTTCTTCTGCCCAAATATGGCTCCATTTTAGACCGGATTTTGCTCTTGTAATGGTAGAGGATAAAACAAGGAATCAGGTAATTACTGGAGCAGTACAGGGAACCGACCATTTTTCCAGTAACTTTATCAAAGAATCGAATGTAAGAGTTTCACGTGGTCTGGATTAATTTTAAGTCCCGATAGGTGCTCAAGGCACGGAGCCTCCCTGAGGGGGACATTCATTTATCGTGACTGGTGATAGTTCAAGATCCGATGATCATTGTTCATTCAATAAATATTATGATATATCAGAAAAATTCAAATAGGAAAACAGTGAAATTTTCATGGTTACTATTAGTTATAATGAAATAATAGTTTAAACACTATCATCACTGTGGGCACCTACAGGCGGTGTAATCGTTAGCAAGCTTGTCTCACTAGAACAATTACGACTGAGTAGTGAGTTCGATCCTCACTGGGTGCCCCATACTTTCGGCCTTGTGCCACATCTAAGCTATGCTTGGAAAATAACTAAACACATAACTTATCATCACTGCAATTAGCACGAGTACACGTCAGCCGTAATGTTAATGAAATAATAATTTAAACACTATCATCACTGCGGGCACCTCGAGGTGGTGAAATGGTTAGCTAGCTTGTCTCTCTCGAACAATTATGACTGAGTAGTGAGTTCGATCCTCACTGGGTGCATCTTACTTTCGGCCTTGTGCCACTTCCAAGCTACGCTTGGAAGATCACTGTGGGTACCTCGGCGTGGTGTAATGGTTAGCAAGCTTGTCTTGCTATGTCAGTTACTACTGAAAAGTGAGTTCGATCCTCACTGGGTGCCTCTTACTTTCGGCCTTGTGCTACATATAAGCTATGCTTGGAAAATAACTAAACACTATCATCACTGCAATTAGCACGTCAGCCGTAATGTTCTCTTTTTCTCTCGAAAGTAACACGGAAGGTGAAAGTATTTCAATCCCAACTCGGGTTACGCTTTTGATTATTTCTTCAAGGTTCTTTTTATATATTTTTTTAAAAAGATTTACGTTTGGAAAATCTATTTTTTGTGTATTTTCTTTGTTCCTTTTTTCATTCGATTGTCTGTTCGCATTTATAGATTTATCGACAGAAAATCAGTGAAATAGAAATTATTCAAATTTCTCTTTGGTTTCCAGGGGAAAATTCATTGTCATCCAGTATCCTTTATAAACTTCCCCATTTTGACAGTTGATGTTATAACATCGTCTAAAGACTGTATTTTATAAAAGTAACAATCTTTCTAAAGGTTTATCAACAACAAAATCAATCAATTCTAATAACATTGTTGAGGCGAATACAACTAATCCGTTTACTACAACGAAGAATAATAAATCAGAAGAGAAACCTACGGCATAGAGATGTGTAGCAGCAATATTAAACTAATACCTGAATTGACTTCTACGTGTTATAGCAGCATAAGCGTTACAGTGACCCTACCAGATACCTAGGAAAAATTTGTACACACACACACACACGCACATATATTCACCATATATCATCAACGAACCCAGGAATAAACCGAGAAATGGAAATTACTCACCAACAGATGATTTTGTAGATGGGGTATTTTCTAGTCGAAATCGTATTGTTTATATATATATATATATATATATATATGTGTATATATATATATATATATATATATATATATATATATATATATATATATATATATATATATATATATATATATATATATATATATATATATATATATATATATATATATATATGAAGCCATTTACATATTTACGAAGTCAGTTGAATGTTCTTAAATTCAAATTTTTGCTCTTGAATATAAATATTTGTAAGTTCACGGTCAATAAAGAAGAGCCCAGGTTCAATCTTTATCCTCATCGGAATTTACGCCATAAATATGAATTGTTTTATTTTTCGTTTTTTTCCCCCTTTTTGTCCGAATATGAGTGTCATCCAGGTTCCATATTAGCTATAATTTTTTTTTTGCATGCAAATATCCCTAATTTATTCTGCTGTGTTATTCAAGAGCCTCCTGGCAATTTCTTTTTCTCTGTCTTGCATAGCATTTTCTTTTCCTTGAGCATGTGTATAGAGGGAGAGAGAGAGAAGGAGGGAGAGACAGAAAGATTTTCAGACCGAGATAGATAGATAAATAAACTTTAATATATATACATGAGCGAACTGAGATAGATAGATAGATAGATAGATAGATAGATAGACTGAGATATAGCACTTGTATGTGACGATCATTACGTAATACATAAATTAATAGAGAAAGCAGAAATTCTTGTACATTAATCGTTAAATTTAAAACTTCTTTACCAGACGAGCAATAACCGGCTACATTCCCCACGAATCAGAATAGTGTCAATGGACGAATGAAATGATTTTAGTCTTGGCAATGCAAAGGAACCATGAACTATTTCCGTTATTACATTAGTCTTGAAGAAATAAAGAAATCAAAACACGAATAAATGTAAAGAAACGGATGATGTGTTATTTGTTGGACGTTCAGGTCAATGAAGCGGAGAGATAACAGACAAAATCCTCAAACAGAACGAAAGCCAAGCGAGGAACTGATTTTTTTTTTTTTTGCGGGTGAGGGCTATCTTGGCTGTTTTTGTAATGTCGATGTTCTTTTATGCCATGTATTTGCCTTGATCTGTGGTGAAATTAGAGCTGGCTTCAGTTTGTAACAGAAGCAAAAGCAATACAGACAAAAACACACCCGCACATATGTCTACACGCACACAAAGGGGAAAAAATCAAAAACGGAGAACAAGATAATTAAAACTCGAGTTCAATATAAACGTTGGTTAGCTGAAAAAAAAAAAAAACGAATATTGAATTAGAATTTTATCCGCGAATGCACCAACCTAGATATGAAAGTAACACAAATATACGTTCTTGTGCAAATTAATTGAAACAACCAATTTAGTTTCCTTTCATTCACCATACGGTCAATTTTAGACCCACTGCAATGACACGGTGTAATCGATTTCTATTTTTTCTTCAGATTAAGTCGTATGCAATATGAATTTATTTTCGGGGTGATGAAATTTGTTTAGCATTCAAAAATATTGCGCCATCCGTGATGGCATCAAATTTTCATCACGCCCATACACTACTGCCTCGACTGTTGATTAGTTGTCCTCGAGCCATTGCCTGCGATGGACGTTACTCCAATGAAACGTACGAATACTGTAACATACTTAGTTGAAGTCATAAAATTGTGTTCTAAATATTTAAATTTCGGCATTAAATAACCCATAGAAATGCTGATATGCCGTTACACAAAATCAACCGACCAGCCAACATGAAAGAACTCTTTCATGACATTAATCCATATAATATCCTATTATTTCTTAAAGAAATCAAACTGTATTCCCAAATATAACGACAAAAAAATTTTAAAAAATACAACGTAAAACACGCATATCACCCCTTCTAATCGGTTTTGAGGAATATGTAATAACCCCTTAATTGCTGTTGTCTACCAAAGTCTACCAAAAATCCGTGTAGTAGCACCTGTTAGGGTTCTCAGCTATGGATAAATGGTGAACCCCCAAACAGAAACAGAACATTATGATAGTATAAAAACCCCTTTTTATAGTAAAATGACCAACAATACCTATGTAAAGCAAAATGACCAGCAATACATTTTATAGTATAATTACCAACAATACATTTTATAGCAAAATGGCCAAAAATATATTTTATCTGTAGTTAAAGGTATACAATTGCGTACAAAACATATAGATTGTGATATTATATAACCCATACAAGTTGATATGCCTCTAAACAAAATCAAAGAAAAAAAAACCTTTATTCTAAGGTCAATAGATGCCTATCCTATATTTTGAGATTTGGAGAAATAATAAAAAAAAATAGCATTTATTAAGATCTAGGAAGGACAGGAAATTGAGGAAAGCCATTATCGCCATCTTCTGGAAAGGACACGGCAAATAGAATAAATGTGTAAATAAGACTGTAAAAAGATCAAATCCCTCCAATATCTGTCTATATTTCTCAGATGAGGTATTGTAACTATTTACATGGTTCGGACTGTTTTCCTCATCTTTGTTGACATATCCACGAGGTTTCGACCTGTTGTACGCCCCGGTCTTCTTCGGGATATGTCTATATTTCTTAGATGTGGTATTTTAACTATCCACATTATTTACACTATTCGAACTATTGTTCTCATCTTTATTGTGATATTCATGACGTTTCGGTCGTTGTACGCTCTGGATTTCTTCAGGATATGTCAATATTTCTGAGATAAGGTATTGTAACTATTTGAACGATTTACATTCTTCGGACTATTGTCTTCATCTTAATTGTGATATTCATGAAGTTTCGGCCGTTGTACGCTCTGACCTTCTTAAGGTGGTACAAAGAAATCTCCTTTTCCGGTCAAACATAGATAAGAATACAATATGGGAACCAGTAATACAGACATTACTGAGACATTAGGTTTATATGTCACAAATATCCATACACAAGGACGTATGACCCAGTAGGTAATTGAAGTAATCCAGTGACTTTACTCGAAGAGTTGTGAGTTCAATCCACAGCAGAGATGAACAAAAAATCGGAGAGTTGAGTTACTAAAGATAGAAAACTGAAACGACGTTACCCAGAAAATACAAGGCACGTGGACGAAATAAAAGGTTTGGTTAGAAAATCCACCTTATATCACCTGAAGAAGGCCGCACAACGGCTGAAACATCGTGAATAAGACAATAAAGATGGGAAATATTCCGAAGAGTTTAAACATTAAGAAATCTCTTATTTGATAATATCAAATGTTTTTGACGTTATTAATTTGTTTCTAAAAACTTCCTCTTGGTGAACCATTTGCAAAAGTAAGCAAGAATTTTAAGGTGTAAATTGTTTAAAAGAACAAAACGAAACCATGATTGACGGAACAAGATTAAAATTATTCCCCTCGGGTGGTAGTCACTAATTTAGTTCTAAGTGGGAAAATTTGGGCAATATCAAAGCTAGACTCAAAGTTCTCATTAAAAGGAAAGGAAGGCTTTTCTTGTTTTTATATTATATCGATAAATTTTATGAAAATGCTAAATATATTTATATAAATATTTTTACAAGGATTATGGAGAATTCAAGTTTTGCATGGCGTACGAGAACTTGTGTGTAGAATTATTGGCCCATGGAATATGAAAGTTTATTCACTCATGGCATAACTATTAAAATAGTCACTCTGGGAATTTGTAACTAATCTTCCATAAGAGAGTCTTAAAACTGGCAATCGTTACCAAGCACATGTCACGACCAGAGAGAGATTAATTCCTTTTTTTAACCGGTTCTTTCTTTACATCTGCAAAGTTTTTTGTCGGTAGAATTAATAAAAAAATTATGTAAGTATGCTTCAAATATTTTAATAATTTTTTGTATTTGTTTATATATATATATATATATATATATATATTATTTTAGTTTTCTTTCTTCTTTTGGTTGGCACGTGTGCGTCGCACTAAATAAAATTCATAAAGGGGCTGATTTGATTTAAAATTTATTATAATTGTTATTAGGGGAACAAATCTACAATCTACGAACTGTTTCAGAGAACATTTGTAATTTTAGAAATATGTTTGCGTGAATCGGTTCAATAGTACCCCGTGTTCTTTTGGAGTTTTCTGCCTGTCGACGCGAGTCAAGGAACAATAACATACGTAAAGTGAGTTTTCATATATGAAGAACTGTGTGTTTGCAACAATATTAGCTTATTGAGTTGAACAGATTTACTATTCTGCTAAGAAAGAAGTACAGTACAATGATTCTATAACCTTTTTTATGGGGGCGTATTAAATATTATTACTCAGTGAGTGATTAATTCGAAGATCATATCACGCCATAAAGACATGTCACCGCATAAAGTGATAAATATCACGTCATATAATCATATCACTCCACGATGTCATATTTCTATATAAACTCAAGTGACCCAATCAAGTCGCAGATGTCACTCCCATAATATCATATCATCCCATAAAGTCACAAATATCACTCCATAAAGTCACAAAAATCATTCCCATGATATCATATCAGCCATGAAGCCATAGCACCCCATTGTCATATAAATGAGGCCATAGTCATATCACTCCATAAAGTCTTTTCATGCCATAAAAACATAAATATCATCCCAGTAGCACCAGATTCGATTTTCAGGTACTGTAAAGATTATCGGTTAAATATTCAAAGTTTAACTTAGTATATTGCATTCTCTCCATCAAAACGGCCATGCAAAAGGCATGAATCCATTTCCCTGCCCCCAGTTATACAGTTTACATAGCAGAATAGATTGGAAACTTCCCAGGTATTAATTAAATAGAAGGGTAAAATGGTTTGGTTTGCAAGCAGGGTACAATAAAGTATTAATGTACCCCTTGCCCGTGCCTCCAGCTATGGGTGAAATAGTAGTGATGATTTGACTGACAAGAATTTGTATGACAACCAGTCTAAAACAAATGCTAGCTTGTTACTACCCATTATCTTTCGTACTAATTTATGGTAATTCATTTGTGTTAAATAGAAAATTTGTCTGGACTCCGGATTCCCTACGTCCAAAATCGTCAATGGCATTGAATAACTATTATTTCATGGCTTACTCTAAAAGTCAAATGACAAGTCTTCTCAATATTTATACGTATTTTTGGTTTTTCTTCATTGTTTTGTTTTTCCTGTTTTTTTTGGGGGGGGGTCACCCCAAGCAAAGCGATAAAGGCATTATAACGCAAGGGATTACTGAGACTGAAAGAGAATGAGAAGAGTTTAGTGAGGAGAAGTAACAATAAAAAAACAGGGTTCAGGAAAACAGAAGATGGCGATAATGCCACTAAGCCACAACGGGTTACTGGGAATAAAAGAGAATGAGAAGACTTTTGTGAGAATAAAAGAACAGGTTTCGGAAAGACAGAAGATGGCAATTGACGTTAATTTCTTTTAATATTGTAGATGGCAAGCAAGCAGTAAATTGGTACGGAGTTCCACAGACGAAACGAACATAACAGACGGTGGCAATCTTAGAATTTAAACAGTAACACGGTGAACTCTACTGGCCAATCTTGTAGCGCGCTTAAATTCACGTGGTCGAAGCACCAGGGATGAAAGCACATCCAGGTCAGGCCAAAAATGGAGTTCTGCTGCCCAGTCTTCGCTTTATACTTTGAATAGAGTTCAAAAGCGTCTCCGTGTCCTTGTGGATGATATTCTTAACCCCCCCTTATCTCACAGACAAGAAGACGCAAGCTTCTCGCGACTCTACTGCTAATTCCATGGAAACTGTTCAATTGGTCTACACCCCTTAGTTCTTCTAGTCTTAAAACTTCACGGTTAAGAGCCACCATTCCATGCCCATTGAATCAAACCACCTTATTACCATTTTGGCTATTCCTAATTCAGTAACCTTTTCTTGGTTACAAAATTTTGGCGATGAGTATGAGATATTGATTCTGTGCAGAGTAAATCTAAAAAAGTTGGGTGTTATATATCGTACGTATGAACACTAATGAGTATGTTCCAACCCTCATAAATAAGTTGGACACTATTGTAATTGGGGGTAATATGCTGTCTACGTAGTCCACCACTAGCAGTGGTTTACCTACTTCACGCCGCAGGCGAGTATTTTATTTTGTTGATGTTATAAAGATTACAATTTCATTTCCAACCTCCGTTTGGATTATTTCTCATTCAGTAAACTTTTGTAGGTTACAACAATTATTACTACTTCTTTATTTCTTTTTTACTTATCGTTTAAATAACAGAAGGCGCATGAGCCACTCAAGATATAGGGTTGTTGATTGAGGTTACTGTACGTAAAAAGTGGAGGTATCAATGGCAATTTAAAAGGATTAACCCTAGGCTTAAAGAAGCTAAGTTTGAAGTAACTTAGAAAGCATACCCCCAGGAGCTTGTTCCACGAAGCTGCGGTTGTTAGTAAAAACAGAACTTCCATCGTTCTAACAGAATACGAAGGCAACGCCGATGGTTCATTCTTGGGTATATGGTATGTGTAACTGCTCCGGCATAAAATATTCCATTTTTGGTGTGATCTTGTTTTCGTAAAGGTAGGCGCATTGCAGGCAGAATCAGGTACTCAGTAAAGATAACAAGGACAGTTCTAAGCGTTCCACTCAAATATTATATCCAAGATTTGTAACTTTTATCTAATCAGGGACATAACTCTATAACTTTTATACATCGTGCCAATGTCAGTGTTTGTGCAACTGACTTTTATGTTTGTTATCCATTGGTGTCGGTTAGAATGGATGCTGCTGTGATCGTAAAGCTCATTTTAAAGAGAATTGTACTGGCCATAGAGAAGGCGGATTATTTGAGGAAGCAAATCATGACCGATATGAGATCGTCTGAAATCAAATCTGTATCATCGAAATCGTACGATATACGACAACACGTTGCTCTGAATGAGAGAGGAATTTGTATGGCGCCAACAATATTTACAGCCTTTGAAGCTATCTTTTGCCTCGGATTGTATGAAATGTGCAAAAGAAAGACAGAAGGAAAAAAAGAAGGGGCAAAAGAAAGAAATAACGAAGGAACTAACAAAAGAATAAAAAAAGTAAACAAAAGAAAGAAAATAAGAAAGAATGGAAGAAAGACGGCGACAAAAGCAGAGAAGGAAACAAAGAAAAAAGAGAGAAGGAAACAAAGAAAGTTCGATAGACAGGAAAAGAAAGACAAAATTGAATGTAAGTAATGAGGGAAAAATAAAAGAAAGAAAGAAAGTAAGAAGAAAAGAGAGAAAGAAAGAAAGAAAGAAAGAAGAAAATGGCGGAAAGAAAGAAAGAAAGAAGAAAATGGCGGAAAGAAAGAAAGAAAGAAGAATAGAAAGAAAGAAGAAAAGAAAGACAGAAAGAGAGAAGGAAAGAAAGAAAGAAGGAATGAAAGAAAGGAAGAATAAAGAAAGACGAAAATGAGGAAAAAATAAAGAAAGAAAGAAAAATAGAAAGAAAGAAAAAAAGATGGAAATGAGAGAAAGAAAGCAAGAAAGAAACGAAGGAAAGAACAAAAAAAAACAAACAAATGAGAGAAAGCAAGATCCATTCAAGGAAAGAAATAAAGGAAAGAATGAAGGAACGAAGGAAGGAGAGAGAGAGAGAAAATGATAGAAAGATAGAAATAAAGAAATGAAGGAAAAAGAAAAAGAAGGTAAAGAAGGATGGAAATAAACTATCTATTTCAACTATAAAATGATGAGACCTTGCAGCCAATCTAGTACTGCGCTTAAATTCATAGTATAGGTATCATAAAGGAACGTTAATCGTGAAGAAGCTTTCTGAATATCACATGTCAAGTATATATATATATATATATATATATATATATATTTAAAGATATTTTTGTAGGTACAAAATTTAATGATCGAAATAAAAGTATAAAATTTAATATTACAAGACATATTAAAACAATATTAAATAATAAAAAAATAAAAACTCAACAACAAGGGGGGGGAAGCAACCGGTTTCGCTCCCGCTCGTCAGGCTTCCACAGGAGATTCAATATTAAAACAGAGAAATGTACAATGTGAATAGGTGAAAAAAAAAAAAAAAAAAAAAAATTACGCATATATATATATATATGTTTGTATGCCTGACGGTGGAAGCCTGATGAGCGGGAGCGAAACCTGTTGCTTCCCCAACCCTTGTTGTTGAGTTTTTTTTTTTTTTTTTTAATATTTTTTTTAATATTATTTAATATTTTTAATATTAAATTTATACTATTTTTATATATATATATATATATATATATATATATATATATATATATATATATATATATATATATATATATATATATATATGTTTCTGATATTATTACAAGCATATAACCGTACAGACGTCTCTAATAATTAGTCGAGTTAGAAACATATGCAAAAATGTGTTGAAAGTTGAGCAAAATACTGTAAGCTTTTGATTATAAATTGTTTTAAAAGCTTATCCTGATAATAAAATGAAACCTATTCACGTTGACTTTTGAAATTTCCAATTTTTTTTTAAATAGGTAAGGTAATTTAAAATGGAACAATCTTAAGATTTAAATATACATTAACAAATTATTCGTAGAAACGACACATGGAAGCTATGTTACGGCAGTTAGAAAGCCGAGATGCCAGGCCAGGACCAATAATATTGAAGGTTATTCTTTGGATTGTTTCACTCTAGAATCTCTAGATACATAGCAGAAGTACCAGACTAGAGATGGCAGCAATATTCAATGCATGGGCGAATGGTAGACTTATAAATACATACATACACAGAAAAATAGGGAAATGTTAATTCATGACGTTAAACTAAAAAAAGGGGGAACCAAAGACATAAAGCGAAAAGCAATGTACTAAAGTCACTAAGACCCAAAGAGGTTATTGAGTGTTAGAGAATATGAGAAAACTAATAAGGACAAAGGTCAATAAAAGAAGAAGTATTAAGAAGACAGAAGATAACGATTCATTTGAATTCCCCCAAAGCAAGGCACTAAAGCCACTAAGGCGCTAAGGGGATTACTGTGTGTTAGATAATATGAGAAAAGCTAATGTTAAGGAGCGAGGACAATAAAAGACATAGGAAATGCACTAAAGCCGAGATGCCAGGTCAGGACCGATAACATTGCAGTTTAATCTTTGGATTTTATCAAGAATCTCTAACTTTATAGCAGATTCGAAGAACTAACAAATGTTAGTTTTAACCTCTTCCTGTATTACAAAAGCTGTTTCTTCCAAATTATTCTGTAAGCTACGAATCAAATGGTAGTCTGAAGGAGCAAGATCGGGAGAATAAGATGGATGACGAATTTTCTCCCAACCAAGTTCTTCGATCTTTTCTGTCGTGATTCTCGCTGTGCGGGATCGCGCATTGTCCTGATGAAACATCACCCTTTTTCGATTCATTAGAGCAGGTCTTTTTTTTCCCTCAAAGCTTGGTTCAAACGCTCTAATTGATGACAGTATATTTGAGCATTAATTGTTGCATTAGGTGGTAAGAATTCAAAGTGAATTATTCCTTGGCGATCCCACCAGATTGAAAGAAGAACCTTTTGCCCATGAAGTTCCATTCTCGGCTGTGGCTGGGGTCCTTCCCCTTTACCAAGTCACTGTCTATGACGCTTAACATTTCGATAAAAGATCCATTTTTCGTCGCCAGTCACAAGTCTATCCAAAAAAGGTGAAACAAGTTGGCGAGAATGGAGAGAAAAGCAGATATCAACTCGAGATTCGAGGTTCTTTTCAGACAATTCATGAGGCACCCATTTTCCAAGTTTAGGAACTTTTCCAAGTTGTTGAAGATGACGATGAACAGTTGTATGGTTTGAACTGAGAACCACTGCCAATTCCTCAACTGATATTGCATGATTTTCTTCAAGCGCTGCTTCAAGAAGCTTTTCATCAAACTCAACTGGACGTCCGGTTCGATCTTAATCTTCAAGTGTGAAATCTCAACCTCTGAATTTTGCAAACCATCTTCTGCAATTTCTTTCATTCACACATTCCTCTCCATAAACTGAGTGAATGTTTCTAGCCACTTCGGCTGCTGAGTTTCCTTTCTTGAACTCATAAAGCATTATGTGCCTCAAATGATTCTTGGGTATTCCATGCAGGGTTTTAATCAAACAAAATTTAATTTTATTGTTCTCTGAAATAAAATTTGATCAGTTTAAATGCTTCTAAACATAATGTTCAGCTCCATTGGATATTATAAAATACTCTTTAAATTTCATTTATTTTAACAAAAAGTTAAAATTCGGACAGAACTTATGGGATACTTTACTATCTATCTATCGATCTATCTCATTTTGTTCATATTTATATATCTACCTCATTCTGTTTCTATCTATCTATAACATTGTCTTAATCTATATATATATAATATATATATATATATATATATATATATATATATATATATATATTTAGATCTCTTATTTCACCCTTAATTATATGAAAACTCGAAAATTCGACATCTGTGTAAATTTGTGATTATATTATTTAAAAACAGAAGACGTTGAAGAATATAAGCCATCGATTTTTTATTAAATTCCAACCCGACATTAACCTAAAATTTCAGACGTGCTAGGAAGGATTACAATTTTTTTTTTTTAAATAATCAAAAAATATTTTGATTTTTTCTCTTAATAATAACATAAACATTAAGACGATACAAAAAATGTTTATCTAGTTTGGGGTCTTTTTCATCAGGATGTGCTCTTTTTAAACAAAACATTGGGCTTTTTGAAAAACTGATCACGCCAAGTTATGTGCTCTCTCCCAGAAACTATGTTCCTGTCAGCGGAGTGGCAGAATCAACGAGACATCAGACATCTGGAATAGGGGCTCGCTAGTAGCCCTGAGGGACGGATGCGCTTAGAAACAGGAAATTCTTGTTACTGAATGTGAGTCAGCGCGAAAAATAGTTCGGTTTTTGATTGTAACGAAACCTTATGAGATTAAAGTACCTATCTGTGCAGGATGAGATTAAGTCTTAAAGAACATAATGGCAACATCTATCAGAGAGATGAAATTTAAATTTTTATTATTTCATTATTCCAAAATTTTAACAAATCAACAGATAGCTATTAATGTTAACAGCTACATACAAATAGTTAGTAATTAAATAAAATAGTAATTAATGTATAATATTATCCATAACTACATGTACAGGAATGTCGTTTTTGATAAAACTTAAAAAATAAACATAAATACGTAAAAAATGTGTATATAGATATTTCTGATATGTTATAATGTTTATTACCTAAAAATTAATAATATTGAAGAATTTTTTAAACATTAAAGTATGTTTAATAACATCTCCCTAATAGCTGTCGCGATCTGTTAAATATAAGCTGCTTAAAATAATTTGTTTCCCTGTTATGAGCAGTCTCGGATGTGCCTGCTTGTCGAAAGATCGTGCAATACTTGGATATTGTTTGTAAATCTGTTTCGATCCTTACTAACGTCGGGGAAGTTTTGATCTTTTGGTAATAATATTTTGTTCAGCGCTCTTAGTTTTAATCTTGTATTGCTTGAAACTTTCAAAATATCTCAAATCTTCATTGTTACGCCAAAAACAGACGCCTCGTTCCTAAAGTACCGCTTTCACGTTCGCTTTTTTGCGCCTTATATTCTTCTAACCATTACTCTTCCATTCTCTTTTTTTTAGAAAGTCTACCCTGTATTAGGCCAGGGATCCACTCGAGGTAGAGTGGTATGTTAAGGGCTAATTTATACGGATAGGAGCGTATGATAACGCATGACTCTAGATTTGATTACACTCGGTGATCTGGGAAATAAACTTTTGGGAGTCGATTCCATAGGGCAGAGGTTCACGAAAAGAGCCTGTTTGCTGTTTGTTTCCATGGAAGAGTTAGATTGGAATAAGGAAAATAATACTCCTAGAAATATTTGAAGATGCAGTTCGTCCTAGCAATTTCCTAGAAATATTTGGAAGGGTTACAATTTCATGGAATAATTGGGAAAATAATACTCCTAGAAATATTTGAAGATGCAGTTCGTCCTAGCAATTTCCATGGTAGTGTTAGATTGGAATAAGGAAAATAATACTCCTAGAAATATTTGAAGAAGCAGTTCGTCCTAGCAATTTCCATGGAAGGGTTAGATTGGAATAAGGAAAATAATACTCCTAGAAATATTTGAAGATGCAGTTCATCCTAGCAATTTCCATGGAAGGGTTAGATTGGAATAAGGAAAAAGGAAAATAATACTCCTAGAAATATTTGAAGATGCAGTTCATCCTAGCAATTTCCATGGAAGGGTTAGATTGGAATAAGGAAAATAATACTCCTAGAAATATTTTAAGATGCAGTTTGTCCTAGCAATTTCCATGGTAGGGTTAGATTGGAATAAGGAAAATTTAATACAATTTCATGGGAAGGTGTTAGAAATATTTGAAGAAATGCAGTTCGTCCTAGCAATTTCCATGGTAGGTTTAGATTGGAATAGGAAAAATAATACTCTAGAAATATTTGAAGAAGCAGTTCGTCCCTAGCAATTTCAATGGAAGGGTTAGATGGAATGAGGAAAATAATACTCCTCCTAGAAATATTTGAAGATGCAGTTCGAAATTTATTGGAATAAGAAAATAATAAGATTTGCAGTTCGTCCTAGCAATTTCCATGGAAGGTTAGATTGGAATAAGGAAAATAATACTCCTAGAAATATT